GCAGGATTTTAAAATAGTCAGCCAATTTTCTAAATATTAAAGGCCACATGTGTGGTGATTAAAAAAACAAACAAACAAAATAATCACAGATACAACAGTTTGTTTCAAAAGTGAATGGTGTGAGAAAATACAGTAAACACACATCGATCTCACACACAAACACTCACATGTGCCTCCTTTACATCACTTCATGTCACATTGAACAAGCAGCATCCTTGTTTGTCCTCAAAATCAAACCAAGAAGATCCAACATGTTTAACACTAGAACTTCTAGAGAGGAGCCATTTGGCGGTAACTCCTATCTCTACCAGAGTTCTTCTGTAGGAATCCCAAAGCGTTCCCCAGCCAGGTGAGAGACATAGTCTCTCAAATGTGTACTGGGTCTCCCTTTAGGCCTCCTCCTGGTTGGACGTGCCCAGAAAACCTCACCAGGGAGGCGTCAAGGAGGCATCCTAATCAGATGCGCGAACCACCTCAACTGGCTCCTCTCGATGGGAGGAGCGGCGGGCCTACTGTGAGCCTTTCCCGGAGTAAGCAGCCAATTGGCTCTGGTAGTGCTGAGAGGTCAGAAAATATTGGGAGTTTTAATATTGATGGTGGCTCCAGCATACCACATGTGACTGAAGAGGTGAGGATGGACTCGATGAATGCAGTGTAGAACTGCCTCATCGACTGCACTGGCGGGTTGAATTTCTTCAGCTGCTTCAGGAAGTATGTCCTCTGCTGGGCCTTTTTTATGATGGAAGAGACGGTGGGCTCCCACTTTCCCAGCCTGACTTGCTACTTCTTGTTCATTAGGAAGTCAGTGATCCACCTGCAGATGGGGTCAGGCACGTTCATCTGGCTGAAGTCCACGGACAGGAACCTGGCATAGGTACCTGGGGAGCCCAGAAGCTGATGGATGAAGTGTGAAGCCATGTTGATGGTGTCATCTATAGACCTGCTGGCTCTATAGGCAAACTGCAGGGGGTCCAGGAGGGGTCTGTGAGGGTCTTGATTTGGAGGAGAACAAGATGCTCAAATGACTTCATGACCATGGATGTCAGAGCCACAGGTCTGTAGTCATCGAGTCCAGTGATCCTTGGCTTCTTGTGGACAGGGACTATGGTGGAGATCTTGAAGCAGGCAGGCACATGAGATGCCTCTAGCGAGGTGTTGAAAATGTCTGTAAACACTGGGGCCAGCACTTCAGGAAAGTGCTTTAGAGTGGCGAGACACACCATCAGGGCCGGGGGCTTTCCGTGCATTCAGAGTTTTGAACTGCTTCCTCACCTCTGCCTCAGGTTTGTAAAATGTTGTGGTGAAGGTATGTGATGCGAGGCCCTGATAGATGCGGGGTGAGGAGGAGGGTTCTGTGGGTGAAGTCAACAGAGGTGGTTATGGCTCTGGAGTGTTCTAGAGCGCTTTTAACACACCAAACATGACAAAATATCTGATAGTATTATTTGAATAGCCACTAGGTCAAATATCGGCATAATTATCTTTCCGTGTGAACTGGGCCTGAGAGTCATGTTCAGACTGCAGCTACATGGGATTTTCTGGTGATTTGATACTGACTCTAGCCGTGATTCATATGAATGCTTTATTCTTTATTATTAGTTTAGAACTCAAATCTTTTGTAGATAAGTTACATAAAACAGTCACCAAACCAATATATTCACCGGGTTTCTGAGAAATTTGAGCTTTTCATTTAGTTGTTAATTCCTTCCGTTTCAAATTTGAATATTCTTTTTTTTTTCCTCTTTTGTGTTCAGCTGCTCACCAGTTCCAACTTGATCATTACATCATAGCTGCTGTTTCTGGCAGTGATTGCTGTTGTAATATTTCCAGGAATGAAACGACACTTAACTCAGGTTTCACATGTAATCATCAGAACCCTGCATTTTTACATTAGCAGCGTTTTATTGCCCAGTATTTTGTGCACGTGCAGGGTGCATGTTCAGCATGGCTCTGGTTGGGAGGGTAATGATAGCCCCAGGAACCAGTGAATCCACTAGAGCATTGTTCCATCAAGACAATGACTTTGGCCCGATAACGGCAGATCAATGATTACACATGATTAGTATTTTTCTAAGCCGGCTCTGACTACAGTCTCTGTGAGCTGTTTGCCAATTTTAAGTCATCCCCAGAAGGACAAATAGCTAAATGTTGGAGGTCTTCAGCACAACAGCTGGAGCAGCTGGATTTACTGGCTTAGCGGGTCAAATTCTGTCGGGCCTAAAGTGGTTTTCTGTCTCACTTAGGTCCTCAGGCTCTCTGAGGACAAGTGTTGGAGCATAATGGATGGATTTGTCTCATTACATTTGCCACATCGTTAGAAGCACAAAGTGTTAAAGGAAAGGCTGCAGAAAGAGACACAAACACACACAATTGGGCGTTTTGGGTCATCTGAGATTATGAAGCAATAAATTTAGTGGACAGTTTAAACTAAGTGACTGAACACAAGTACAGATAAGGACTTTGTCCTTTTATCCTCACACCTTTTTGGGTGAAACTCCTAAGTTCATCAGTTTTATCAAGCTATGTTCCATCTGCAACATGTACGAAAGTCAGCAAGTGTGAACGTCCTCTGTGTTTGTAAAGGTGAGAAGAAGGGCAGCCATGCAAATGGACTAAGGTGCATTAAGTGTAGAGTTGCAGCAGCAATGTCTTTTGGTTAATACTTATTGCTTTGTTTTATTTCTGCTTCAGTTTTGGTTTATTATCTGCCTGATAATGAGATAACCTTTGGTTTGTGACTTTTAGAGGGTTTTGTGTCCCCACACAATGCCATTTTAGCACAAGGAAGAGGAAAAATGGGAAATACTTTTTATGTGATTGAAACATTAGGGGACAGTGCATCATGCAAAAATGAATTTAGTTAAGTATTAAAGTTTAAGGAGCCTGGTTGATTAAAGGCCACATTCACACTTTTATTTTTTGAAGGCATAAATAAGATTTTTCTTTCAGTCTGACTCAAGTCACTTTCACACTCAGTCCTAAATTCTTTACATATGTTTATATATGTTTATGTATGTCTGAATGAACATGTTGCATTTCATTTGATAAACAACAAACTACACAGATCTACACCAAAGAAGCTGGGTAGTGGCAGGTTTACTAAACAATGGACAAAACTGGCCTCCATTGCCATTTAGTCAAAATGTTATCATGTCCCGCTGAAAAACCTTAGCATTTATGCTCACACTCAAGCATCCATATTTATTTTAACACACACCACACACAGTAAGTGACGTCACACCATCTTCTGCACACGCCGGTTGCTTCAAGCCGTTTTAATACATTTACAGTTGTCTCAAGTGGGAATGAATGCCTTGGGGCACCTGTTTCAGCATGGAGAATTCAGCCAGAGGAGAAAGTAGCTTCAGACGACAGGATTTGGAGACTTATTACCTGATATGTGGACATCTCGTCACTGATTGCCTAAGAGCAACGCAACGCAACTCGACCTCTGACTCGTTTTCTTTGCAACGTGGATGTTTTATCTTCTCAACTAAAACAAGCCTGAAGGAGTTCTGCTGTGTGGTGGAGTTGCTTATGCTAATGGTTAGCTTCTACTAGAAGAGAAACTCTCTGCTGTTTCCTGGATACTAAACCAACAACAGCCTTCCGCGTCGTGAGTCAAGATGGGTGAGTTTATGAATGTAAGGTGACAGTGTGATGCAAATTTGTCAGGCTTTTCAAATCCTAGAGTTTCGTTATCTATTTTCTATTAGAAGCTAATGCAAGAGATAGGTGTAGCAGATTATTTTCATGTTCAGCCTGAGTGAAAAAAGTTGCTGATCATTTTTAAAAATAATAATTTTCAAAAATGGTAAGGACCTCTTTAAAGTAAGAAACCACTCAAAAAGACATTTAGTGTGAACTTAGCCCTAGTTTATCAGTAACAGCTTGGATGTGATAAACTTTTCTTGAGTGGCTGCTGGACTTTGGTTAACTAAATAAATGAGCTCCTGTTTTATGAAACCAACTGCATTCCATTTTAGGGAGTGCGCTTATTGTTAATGAAACATGCTGCTGGACAGGATTCTAGGAATGTAGTTTTGTCAGGAACTATTTATAATGAGCCTGTTTCCATGGTAGCGGTGAATTAAAGCCCATAAATGAAACTAATAGCTTCAAACCACAATACCCCACTGATGCTCTTAGTTTATAGCACTGTAAGGTTTAGTAACAACTGTAAATTATGTCAAGATGGTACAGCTTAGGGCACACTAGTTGGTTGACTGAGAAAATATTTGCAACAAATGTGTGATAATTTAGTGGTTTTATTATAACAAATAAGACATTTTTATTTGTTTTAATACATTACCAGAACATCATTACAATTGTAGACAAACTAAAAGGTAAACATTTTCACACCCAGAAAGCCATTAGTGTTTATGGCAAAATGAAACTGACTTTTCCTAAAATTATTTAACATTTTATATTGTTCAAAAACTTTCAGTAATTTTTAACATTGGGGGGGAGAGAGACTTGTTTGGATACAAAACGTGCCGCCTTTTTTTCTTCTTCTTGTTTCCCATTTAAATCTCACACTTCAGTGAAAAAGGGATTATTATTTTCATATGTCAAATTACTCCTGAGGAGAAACTTGATGGATTATTATTTTTTGACTGCTGGTGAAAAACCTTAGATGTTTATTTGGCTTCATGTTGTCAAGAGAGTCTTAATTTGCGTTTACATTTTGCAAAGTGACAGGTACATACCGAAGTAAATTAGAGCTCATTATTTCCAACATTTCTTGGCAGGATTTCTTATTTTGTTAGTTTTTAAGATGTGAAAGGCTTGAAAGAACCAAAATAAGAAACTATAATATTACTTTTTATTATTTTACTGACTTAATTTCATTGAACTATTAACATCCAGTACAGACAGTCAAAGCCCAGCTTCACAACTTAATCATTAAAAAACCAAGAAAAATGTCTTCCCAGCTTCTAGAGTTCAAAATGACATCGTCAACAATTATTTGTAAAAAAAAAATAAGATGATGATAAAAGTTCACATGTTTAACTGTTAAGCATTTTAATAAGTACAATCATAACATTTTCTTAACATTTAGTTACAAAAGCACATAAGCATCAAGGTAAAATTGCTTTTCAGTGGATTATTAAAAATCATAACTGCATATTTTACCTGGTAGTTTTTCTAAATTATTACTTTAAGAATTTATAAATCAATTAAAAAGTTGTCTTTGAAGTTCAGATTCTTTTTAGAGTAAAATTTTAACAACATATTAAAGAACACACATTATGCTGTCACTAAATATGTGTTTAATCTTTGAAATATTTTGCTGTGGAACAAAAAGTACCTTGATTTCTAATAAATAAAAGCTCCCAATGTGTTTAAATTTAATATTTATACAGCAGAACTTGAAAACCAATATCTGAAGTCAGGCATGCTCTAATCATCTGATACATCTTTAGGAAAACTAATCATTATAAATGCACCTTTAGATGAACATCTTGAGGATTTAAATGTTGAATATTTATAGCAGTTGCCACAAATTTACTGTGAGCTCTTCTTTCTACCTGACGTGAAAGTGCCGTGAAACGGCAGCAAAACGCTACCCAGATATCAGTGATGAGTTCCTTTCCACCGGCAGCCAAGTGTAACATTTTGGACGTGTCCCAGAAGCAAAGCAATGCTGTCATTAAGCTTTGAGTCTATTTTTTTACATGCTACGTTTCCAAAACACTTCAAAACTCCCCAGTTTAGATCTCGCCAGACAGGAAGTCAAACACAAGTTAGTGTAAAACATCTGGAAACTTCAAAATAAAAGTGACGTGCAGTACACTATTTCCTGTGAAACTTCTGTAACCGATGTAAACAGATCAGGAAATAAACCACAACCCTTTTTGGAGACACACAGCTGTCTTTCCCCTTGCTTTTTATTGTGTGGACTTCTGAAATCACACGTGATGTTACAATTCTCTCGTGATTTTGTGACCTCACAGGATCAGCTGCGTGGAATGCCTTTGCTCTTTTTCTTCTTTGAACATCTTTGTTACAATCATTATGTGATTCTAATCTGATTCTATTTATTCTGGTTCTTTACACAGAGTAAATGGGGCTTGTTTTTACATTCGCTGACATGTTACGGCTTCTGCCGTGGCCTTCATCAGAGCACTGCCAATGAAGGCCACAGCGGAAGCTTTTGCTTCCGTTTTGCTTCAGGATCACTCCTGGTTGGGAATGAGCTTGTGGGTAAAACACCACCATTACATTACACGCCACTTTCAGTGGAAAGAAGGATGAATCTGTCCCTGAAACCTGAAACAGTGACCACTATTTTCATCAAGTTTCACACCGAAAGTCATGTGTTTTTACTTGTTATGCTAATTGAAAATTAAAAAATTCAATGACGTAAAAGTATAACATTATAGCTGCACAAACATTCCTTAGCAACAGCTCACATGATAACACAGAATAATCAATGTCTGTTTGACCAGCAACATATAGTGACAAAACTCTGACGATGGAAGAAACAGAATTAAATGCTTGTGATCTGACAACTCTCTCCTGGAACCATCTTAAAACCTCCCTCAGTTATCGTCTGTGACAGGAGTGATGATCAAAGGAGCTGAGTTTTTACCTCCGTCGAGGCCACAGGGACTGAAGAACGGGAAGAGCTTCTCGGTGAAGACGCATCCCATAAAGGAGAAAATGTTAGCCCTTGCATCCGCATCATAGAAGGACACCTCACCCCCGTCATAGTCCACAAACACGCCGACCTTTTGAGGTAACTGTCTCACATGCAGGCTGATGGCAGGTCCTGCATTGGCTGTGATTTCTTTTCCTTCTCTCAAGCAGACTGTCCAGTATCCATTCTTTGGGCTCAGTCTGATGTCCCCTTTCCTGTTGATGGACTCTCGCACCACTCCTAAATCCCACTGCGTTTTACCTCTCACCTGAACCTCATAGTAGAATTTCCTTGACGAGAATCCTTCATTTGCCAAAACATTAAGGACAGAATCAAACCGCTCCGGTTTGTTCAGGACCTGCCTCTTTCTGTTCCTGAGTGCAACTAGCTTCCCGTCGTCAGAAACACTGAGGAGAGGGTTTGCTGTGTTGAGATCGAATGTGACATTCACAGCATACCGCTGCCTTTCTCTAAAGTTAGGATCACACAGATTATTTGTTTTAGCTGTAACTGACTTCTTCAATTCAGTCAGATTTTCCTGAACAGCAAATGGGTCAACATCAAGCATCACATTAGACCAGTCCCTCACCTCCGGAAGAGACATTGTGAAAGAAAGAGCATCCTCCAGGAATGTGAAGCAGTCATCAGTCACAGAAAATTGACTGAGCTGTAAGTTTTTCTGCTTTATTTCTTTCATTTCTGCATCCAGTTCTTTAATAAGCTCATTTGCTTCTTGTTCCTTTCTCTTCAGTTTTGTGTTTGTGACCTCTCTGAGTTCGTTGTGGCCTCTCTTAACATAATCCACTACAGCAGCCATCACGTGACTGCTGCATGACAGTGCTTCCTCTGCATTTTTTCTGCTTGCTTCCAGTGAGCAGTGAATCTCACGAATTTTTTGCTGACGGTCTTGGATCATCTGATCCGCACAATCCTTTTCCATCCCCAGCTGTTTTTTTCTGGTCTGAGCCTCCTCTTCTAGAGTTACTGTCTTGTGTGTTTTATGCTCTTCATGTCTGCAGGACGCACAAAGGAACATTTGATCCACCCTGCAGAAAAATTCCAAGGGTTCCAAATGGTTCCTGCATATCCTGCTCTCTAGGTTACGTGCTGGGGGGATTAACTTGTGTCTCTTTAAGGCTGAGATTTTCAGATGAGGCTCCAGATGAGTCTGACAGAAAGACATGAAACACACTAAACAAGACTTTATAGCCATGGACTTTGGCACTGGGCAGTTACTGCAGAGGACGTTTCCCCTTTCCGCTTGTTCTGGGATACTGTTAGACACTGTTTCAACCTTTTTTCTAAACTTCTCTGCCACCTCAGCAATAAAAATGTTGACCCGAAGCATTGGTTTGGAGTGAAATTGTTCTTTGCAAAGTGGACAATCAAACAGCACTTCACCTGTTGCCCAGTGCCTTGTTATACAGTCGTTACAAAAGGTGTGTCCACAGGGGATCGACACAGGCTTAGTGAACACATCCAGACAGATAGGACAACACAAAGTCTCATCACTAACCAGACTCGTGGCAGAAGCCATTTCTAGAAAACACAAAAAGAAGAGATAAAAAAAAACAATGCAAAGCTTATTTACTTTCAATTTTGTTAAACTCAGCTAACAAAAGAAACATAACTGCAAAGTTCTAAAACAAAAGATTACCTGTTATTTTTCACCGAGACTTTGTGAAGTGTACTCTAGCTAAAGCTGGTGTCCGTCATCCTTTTACTTTTCATTTCACCAGCAACGTCATTTCCTCCTGTGTTTGGAACAAGTTAACCCTTTGTAGGCACAATCTACCATCAGCCTTCTGCTCAAATCAGCTTAAAGAAGAATAAATAAAAGACCCACATGCACAATGGCTGTGTTTGATTCGACAATATTCTTGTTATTGTTTGATACAATATTCTTGTTATTGTTTGATTGCTGATGCTTTTTCCCATTTTTTGTTTATTTGTTTTATATGTTAGAAATTCCATTCATGCTTAGTGTTAGAAAGTGGTGGAGTTAAAAATGGGACAACTGGCCACAGAGCCAGCAAGTGTGTACATTTGCTTAACATGTAAATCCTTGGAACCCACACAGTAAACTATAAATCTTGTGCTTTGTTCTCTGGGGAAACAATGTGTTTGTTTTCATGAGGGTTTCTAGGAATAACAGCTTCCTGTGTGATACGGTGAAATTTCAATCATCCCTGTGCACACTGAGAAGTTAGCAGGAAAAGTTTATTTTGAAAGAATACTTTAAAGACCAAGTTCACTCTTTTTTTAACACATTTGCAGTGGTCTCTAATATAAATGAATGCCTTGTAAGTTGGTTGATCTCTGTGGGGAAAAATCACCTGTGGAGAGGTGAGCAGAACATGGCAGGATATGGAGTCTTATTTCCTGATAATCAGACATTTTACCTCTGATTGGCTAACAACAACACAACTCTACCATTGACTCCTTTTGCTATGCAACGTTGAGGTTTTAACTTCACAATTGGCACAAGCCTGAAGGAGTTCTGCTGTGTTGTGGAAATGCTAATGCTAAAGGTTAGCTTCTACTAGTCACAGTGGCTCTGCTCTTCCCTGGTCGCCAAATCATTAACAACCTTCCCCGTTGTGAGCCAATATGGGGGAGTCCATGTTAGCCATATTTTCAATGTGAAGTAAATCTGTGTGACTGTTCTATTTCATGTTTTTCCCCATTTATTTTCTATTGGTGGCTAATGCAGGAAATAAGGGGTAGATGACCAGTTTCACATGTAGCCTGAACCTCAGTGACAATCATATTAACTCATCAACTGCCGCCCGTTACCTGATCAGAAAAGCCTCTTGTTGCCAGCACAACGAGAGGCTTTTATTTGCTGTTTTTTGAAGAGTCACAGAACGTTATGCTCTAGGATGATGTCAACACCAAAACTACCAAAACAACAATTGCAGAGTTTGCATGGGATTTTGTAAATGACTCCACATTTAAGTCCAGCTGATATTTTGTCTTTTGGGTGCACTAGTCTGTTTCTAACTGTTGTGTATGGTTCTGCAATAAAACATACATAGGAGAAACCGGACGCCAACTCAACACACGAACAATAGAACATAGAAAGGAGTGTGAGAAAGAGGCAAGTCGAAAACACACAAGAAAAGCAAAACAATAAGCAGAAAGTACAATAAAGAAATCAGCCGTAACAGATCACTGCATAAGAGAAAACCATGTAATGGACTGGGACAACACAAGGATCATAAACACCGAACAACAAAAATACAAAAGATGGATTAAAGAAGCAATCGAGATAAGGAGACGTGGATGTGGGACCATGAACAGGGACGATGGAGTTTACACATTGGACCGTGCATGGGATTGCATCGTCGGAGAGGGGAGAGTGGGCAGCAGAAGGCGACAACGTCCTCTGCTGCCCGCGGATAAACGGAGTAGGAAGTGATGCCACCATCAGCGTCAGTCTGAGGAAGTCTGCAGCCGCAGACGAAACGTAGCGAAAAAACAGGTAACGAAACCGTTTCTGTGTTTTAAAAATAGAACGACAGCATGGGTTATTAGTAATTGTCATGATCTGTCTTGTCTCCTCAGTTTCTGTTCAGTCCTTTGTCCATGCTATTTGCTCCCACCTGCCTCTCGTCTCCCAATCGAGGTCCCATGCAGCTCCTCATGTATTTAAACCCTCTCAGTCCTGTGTGTCTTGTCTGTTCATTGTTTCCTTGTCCCTGTGCTTCTTCATTAAAACCCTTAAAGGTTCTCACCAGCCTGCCTATCTCATTTACCTGTGTTTGGATCCTCACCTCAACAACACCCTGACAGTAATATATCATTATAGTATTAATATTTAAAAGTGATGAAACTTCTGTCCAAGAATAATCTGATGAGGGTAGTTTTAACATCAATGTGTTGCTATTATCAAAGAGTTAAATACTATTTTAAGCAGATGGAGATTCTTTTTGATCCTGGTCTATATGAGTCCCCTTTCTTCTTTAAGATCTAATCATTGACACATTAGAGGGAATCACTGCTTCTCTCCTCCTGTATTTTGGTCTTTCCATCCCTCATCGATCACTTCTTTATTCCACCCTCAATCCCGTTATCATCCTTATTCATGGAGCTCTAACCTTGAATACATGAATTAGAGATCAGAGCAGCAAAGAGTGCTTGAGGACACAGTCTTCTCTTTGTTACTGAAACCCCCTGCCAGGTTGCTTCTTCCTTTAAATTGTGCAAATCCAGAAGAAAACCTGATTTCTACATTTTGTCCTACATCCCAAAAGAACTGTAAGACAAGTCAAAGTGTGTATTTAGATATATCAGAACTCAACAACATCACAGTATTACAAAGATGTGCATATAGAGCTCCGGGAGTTGACGTCACTTCTCCTGGCATGCAACAGTTCAAATCGAAACAGCGCCATATTGGCAGGCAGAAGCCCGCAGCTGGACTATTTGTTATTGTCAGAAAACTCAAATGGGAAATATGGTGGATTCCTGTTGTGACCCAGGATGCAGAACAGACGCGGACGACATAAGGAATGAGCCTTCTACAGGATTCCCCAAGATCCGGAGCGCCGCAAACTTTGGATCATTGTAATAAAACATCCCGAGAGTAAAGGTTTTCACTTATGCAGCGACCACTTCATATCAGGTACTTAAACCAACGTTTCCTCAACGGTATATGGTATTTATTTTGAACGCTTTTATTATGATTCTTAGTGGGCTTCCTAAACTTATTTTGGCATGGCTTTTTATGTCTTGTTACTCATAGCAACAAGTAAACATCACGTAATTCTTAAGCAATGGTTGATCAATTGTCAGATCACACATAAAAAGCACTTTGGATTGCTATTATCTGTCTCACTGAAACAGATCTCAGACAGGTCCTGAGACGCTCCTGCCTGACATTTTTATTTTATTCACGGAAAAAAAATCAAACTAGTGATTTCCCTTGGCGTTCAGTTTATACATTCAAACAGCACAGCACTCTATTTAAACTACTTACATGTTAATCTGTTATTTGTCCATCCATCCATCCATTTTCAGCCGCTTATCTGGAGTCAGGTTACGGGGGCAGTAGCGTCGAGAGGCCCAGACATGGCCAAGCCAAGCTTGTCCAGAAAACATTTTTTTTTGGGTGCACAGGACCAGTTCCAGTGTGGGCCAGATGCTGAAAAATAAATTCATAAATCTGTCTTTTTTGAGATTTCACAAATCAGAGAACGGTTTCACAAATCACAAACTATGTTTTATGCATACTGCTACAAGCCTAGAATAATTTAAAACAGGTTTGAAGAGTGTATGTGTTGTAGATTTTGAGCTAGGGCAGATTAAAAATGGTCAGAGTAGAGAAAATTGGGTGTATTAGCCATCGACATATAAATATTGGACAATGGGTTTCCATGGACTCCAATAATGTTTTTGTGCTAAAATGGGAGGTGGCCACCACCGCCATTTTGACCGTGTCACAGGTTCCGTCAAGCCCAGACAATTCCAAAAAAGGGAAGAGAGGTGGAGCTGAGGGTGGAGCTGTAAGGCTGGGATCAACTGACGGCACCCAGTCTAACTAGCTACAAGCTAACCTGAAGCTAACCCTGGCTAACCCAAAGATAATGTGGAGGTGGGGGCCAGGCTAACGGATGTAGCCACTTAGCTACAACCGGAGCTAACGCTGTGGAACACCCATCGACCGCATGGAGTTCAGGTGGAGGTTTGCGGCACTTTTTCATGAGACGTACCTTTCTGTGAATAAAAAAATATGAAATCGGTAAGTTTTTAAGTTATTTCCGTAATGAAAATATATTTTGCTTTGAGCAAGTTTTCACTATTTTTAACGTACTGTATTTTCCGGACTATAAGTCGCTCCTGAGTCCCACCAGCCATTAAATGTATAATGAAGAAGAAAAAAAAACATGTCGTATTTTGGGGGGAAATTTTATTATTTTTCTTACAAAATCTGAGACCAAGCGTTTCACATTGCAAGACAAGACCGAATAATGCGCCGCAGCAGCGCACCATGGTCTCCAGCAGAGGAAGGTGGTGTTTGAAACCCTCCCAGCGGGACAGGGGAACTCATTCTTGGGTCGGAGTTGGCCCGCAGCAGCGCGGTGTAGCCTACATATTTTGTCATATAAGTCGCTCCGGAGTAGCAGGACCGGCCAGACTATGAAAAAAAGTGTGATTTATAGTCCGGAAAATACGGTAGTTGTTAGTATTTGAGATAAATTAGCAGGCTAAATACATTTCATATATTTCCAAAACGTAATACTTGTTTGTATCTTGTACAGCCAAGTAGCCTTTATTCTGGACTCAGTACAATTCACCAAAAGTAAAGACACATTATACAGATGAAGTAAGCACAAGATAACTTACTGGAAGAAACAGAATTATCATGAGAACCAGAACAAGACAGCCTGATAACAGTAATGTGAAAATAACAGTTAAAAAGTGTGTATGTGTAATAGAAATAAAAATATATTAGAATTTGTGTAACTCACTGTGATCCAAACAATAAATCAGCCATGGCTGATTAACAATCATGAAATGAGGTCTGGGAGTTTTTAAGTTTCATTCTTTTATTACATTTTTTCTTAGATCTGTTAAAAGGTCACCATGGCAGCCTGTGTGTCTCCAACACCAGCTGCACAACGCAGAGTGTAACTACCAAATACCTGTCTTGACCACTTCATGTATGGTTTTGTACTTTAAACAGCTAGGCCAAACCTGTTATTTTTTTCACCATAGCCATTTGGATCATCGGTGACAGCTGAGTGAGGCGTGGTGC